CTAACCCTAACCCTAACCCCTAACCCTAACCCTAACCCTAACCCTAACCCTAACCCTAACCCTAACCCTAACCCTAACCCTAACCCTAACCATATACTTCGGGGCCCATGGGTCAGGGTAGGTGGGTGCATCGCAAGGGGGTTGCGATAACATGTCGGGCATGGCGTTCGCCTTGCCTGCGGTGTGCTCAGCCGTGTATGCAAATTCCGAGAAGTAGAGATACATGCGCGTCTGTTTTCTAGACAGCGTTGGGAGTGTTGTGAACTTCGCAAGAGTCTGGCTGTCCGTGAGGACGATGAATGGACGTCCTCGCAGCTTTGTTTCGAAGCGTTGAAATCCTTCGTACATGCCCTGGAGCTCTTGGTTCTGGGTGTTGTAATTGAATTGGGAAGGCGAGAACTTTCGCGAGTGGTAGCCCGTGGATGCTTAGCATGTAGCCGACTCCTGTACCTGAGGCGTCGAATTGGAGGAAGAGGTACTTCCCTTTGGATTCGTTCTCTGGCACCTTTTCTCCTTCGGCCGGGAGGGGTGTCTAGGTGGACTGGGAAGGTACCATCGGGTGCAAGCTCGTCTGAGCGAATGCAGGTGAGTTTGGCACTGTCGTCAAATGCAGCCTTGATACTTTCAAAAGCGTCGCTGCAAGCTCGGGACCATCTCCAGGGGCTGTTCACCCCTGTCAGTGCATCCAAGGGCGCCGCTAGCTCGGCAAGGTGCGGGATTGATCGATGGTTATATTCCACCGCTCCTAGGAAACGTTGAAGATCCTTCTTGTTCTTAGGAGCTGGGGTAGCTCGGATGCCAGCCGCCTTTTCCGGCTGCATCGAGCTTTCTCCCGGGCGAATCTTCCTGCCCAGAGAGTCGCGAATCTCTGTAGCGAATTTGAACTTTGAGATAGGAATGCGGATGCCGTGGACTTCGGCTCGCTCGAGAGTCTCGCGGACATCCCGTTTGTGTTCGGCCCAGGTATTAGAGATGGGCCACAGGTCGTCGGCGTAATGTTTGATCTTGCGATTGATGAGTCCAGCAAAAGCAAATGAGACGAGCCGGTGTAGTGTAACCGTGCTGTTGCGATCGCCTTGTTGAGCGACAAGTGAGTACAGGATCCCGTTAGGGGTGCTGAACGCGGTCTTCTTCACATCTTCGTCCTTGATGCGACTTTGTTGGAAAGCACCTTGAAGGTCGATCTTCGTGCAGAAGTTCGCCGCTGCAACTGCGTTTACTTTCAGGAACTGAGGCCGAGGCACGAAGTGCGTAAGTACGAGAGCCGATGAAGATAGTAAAGATAGTTGGAGAAAGAAGATAAGCGCTAAGGGAGCGCGCGCGAGGCAGGCTCGAGACGCGCGGGGCGACTAATATCAACAACTAGTAACTAATCATAATCGGGAATACCAGTGGGATGAAACAGCAATATATTGACACCCCCCCGTGCTGTCATACCACTGCACCTCGCAAACCCAAATTCTCCCGATGGAACATGAACGGCTTGGGACCCAAGGCTTTGGTGAAAATATCGGCAATCATGTCGCCGGTGGCGATGTAGCGGACCTCGATCTCCTTCTCAGCTACCCTCTCGCGGACGCAATGTTCCGAGATGCGAACATGACGAGACCCCTGATGGTTGGTCGGGTGCTGCGCAAGAGCCAGCGAACCTTGGTTGTCCCCGTAGAGTACGACTGGACCGGAGACCGGAGCGCCAAGTTCAGCCAGGAGTTCGCTCAGGTGGATGGCATCACCGCTTGTGTACGAAAGAGAGAGGTACTCTGCGTCGGTAGTGGACTTGGCCACCCTGTGCTCGCGTTTGGAGCACCAAGCAATAGCGGCTCCGGACAAGATGAACGCGTAGCCCATGGTCGATCGTGAGGTCGTTAGACAGGCTCCCCAGTTCGCATCCGAGTAGCCACGGAGTGGTTGGCTGGTCTTGCGATAGGTGAGGCCCAAGTCCAGCGTGCCTTTGATGTAACGGAGGACCTGCTTGATGGCTGTCCAATGCTCCGGGCCAGGCTGCTGGGAGAAGCGAGCGAGGTAGCTGACCACGAAGGCGAGGTCCGGACGAGTTCCAACTGCGGCGTACATCAACGAACCGATGGCCTGCAAGTAGCGCGTACGATCCTGAGGAGTGGCCGCCAAGTCCTCGAAGTCAAGGACGACACCTGGCTGCATTGGAATACTTGCCGGCTTGGCATCGGTGAATTGGAACCTGGCAAGGATGTCCCGAAGGTAGCGCTCTTGTGAGAGCGTGATAGAGCCGTCTTGTCCACGTTTGACTTGGATGCCTAGAATATATTCGGCAGGTCCGAGACGTTTGATGCCGTATGCGAGTTCCAGCGCGTCTATATCACGAAGGACGAAGATAGGAGAGGTGAGCCGGACGAAGGGGCTCGAGACGAGGGCAAGGGCGAGTGACGAGTTGAGAGGTGTTCTAGGGACTTCTCACAAGAGGCGAGGACGAGGGACGAGTGCAAGGATGTGACCTTTGACGAGATTCGAGTTGCAGAAGGGAAAGAGAGAAGTGAGCTACGGAACTGGGAAACTAGACCAGAGGAGTCGGGGACGAGGTGGCGAGCTTGAGGAGGCGAGGCACGAGGATCACGTAATAGTGTTGAGGCCAAGGATCACGTAATAGAGCTTGGTTGATGTTCACGTAAGAGTCGGGGGCGAGAGGGTTGTGAGCGTATAGTTGGAGGAGAAGAAGGCAGTGCAGGTGCCGAAGCGGGGAGAGGAGGTCCGAAGCGCGGGAAGGCCCAAGTCACGCGGATGACGTGGGTGCTGAGAGGCCGAACTTGGAGTGGCGAAACTCCCATTCGTGACACCTTCGTTCTCAATCTCGAGGCGAGCCGGCAGGGCGCTAGGTCACCCACAAGAGTTCGGATGGTTGGAGAAGCCTCCTCGCACAGGACATAGGACATCAGCAAATATCGAGTCTTGGGTGGCGGAGACAGCAGCGACAAAGACAAGAGCCTGCATACTCGTCGACGAGTGATCTGTCGCACCGAGTTGAGTTTTGAGGTCGGGGCCGATGGAGAGGAGATCTCCGTCGAGCAGAGCAAGTCCTGCCGAAAAAGTCTGGATCCTCAAGTAGAAAGAGTCGACGAGCATTCTGCCGGGAGACGGACTTAAAACGGTTGCGAGTGATTCGGAGTCCAAAAAGTCGAGTTGAGCGCAGGCGGAAATCAAAGACCTGGTGGAGCAAATCAACCGTCAAACATGAGCAATAGTGCACACACTTGCAACACGAGAAGTGGAGGGAGGGAAGGACTTCAGGTTGAGGCCATGCACTAACCTTTCGGACGTTTGCGCGCTTAGTGACTGCCAAACGAGTGCGTCGCTACCAAGCGAGGTGACAAGCGAAGAGAGAAGGGTTGGAACACCGTGCGTGGTTGAGCGCAGTCCATGACCGCATGTCCAGAGTTGGTGAAGCATGTACAAACATGCAAGTCGCCGAGGTGGGATGGTACGTATCAGGCTGGTCGAGCGAATCGCCGAGGTCGATTGAGAGTACGAAGGATCGTCACGATCCGACGCTGAAATCGAGCGCCGAGTGGTCCGGAGAAGCCCGAGTCGGGACTTTATGCTCGACGTGCACAACGTAATAAAGAGTTCGAGTAAGATGTGAAGCAATGAGGAGGTGTTCCGTGGCACATCTCAGGAGCTTTGCCGTGAAGTCGATCGGTCGGAGCGATCGACGAGGTTGAGAGTCAGCGTGCAAGTCCGGTCGAATTGACCGGCAAGGAAGACGAGCGGGAATGTGAGATGTTGAGGTGCCATGAGGTGAAACGTAGCGCTTAGTGGTGTGGACGGATGACTCGACGAGCCGGATCACGAGGGCCGGCGATGGAGTGAGTCGCGGCGGGGTCGAGACGGGGTGATAGTGCTTGAGGCAATGCGGGTCTCCCATCTCGACATCGGCGCACTCGTGCTTCAAACTGGTGGCGAGAGGTACCGAGGGATGGTGATCTGCGGGCTCAAATGCTGGGCGTGCGAGCTTGTAAGCATCGCTGCGAAGTTCCGTTCGAAGGAGCGCTCCTAGTCCGGGTCGTTCGTGACCATCAATCTACACTGTGCACTGTGGGCGGTCTGAGCCCGTCGTCGGTGGTCGAGCACGTGGTCCCGTCGCGACGGCTGTCAGAAAGGAAGGGCTGTCGACGTTCGAAGTATGGTTGAGTTAGAGCTCGAGTTGACCGAGCGAGTTGGAGTGGCGATTCGGGCAGGGTGGGCACATCGAGGCGGACCCATGTCAGTTGGTGCTTGATCGTCCATCGAATAGTGCTTGATCGTCGCTTTGATAGAACTGAAGCAAGTTGCCTGAGAGATGGACGGGTCCAGCTGATCATCGGAGTGCCGAACGGTCGAGCCGAGACAAAGCTGCTCGATGAAATGGCTCGAGTGCCGAGCCAGCCAAAAAGAGCGCCGAAGAGTCAAGCTGATCCCAAGAAAATGACAGAACTCGGGTCGAGCGAAGTCGTATTGGCGATCGTAGTATTGAATCACAAGCTCGTGGCATGGGGTGGGGGCGATGTTTGAGCAAGTCGGTGCGAAGCTGAGGATGGGCGACGTGCGAGTCGGATCTAGCGCGCCAAAAATGTCGGGGCAATGCTGTGAAACACAGATGAGTGTTTGTAAACGCGTCAGTATTGAAGGGACTCGAGACGATGGAGACCCGGGTTGGAGAGGAGAGCATACCAGACTGGGGTCCTGATTGATCGAGCTAATTCGCCGGTGTGAATGCGAAGATCACGGGGGAGTGTAGAGCTGGGTGTAGTGGCACAAATCAAGACAAAGTGAGGTGAATCGTGTTGATAAGTGAATTGCCAGAGGATTAGAGAATGGGGCGATCGTGGGGTCGGCGCTCATGATGAGTAGGTCAGGTCAGTTGATGACCGTGAGTCCATGTCGATCGAGTTGAAGGTCGACGGTTGAGGCGGTCGCCATCGCGATGGGCGAGCGGGTTGTTACTTCGCACGTCTTGGTGATGGGGTGAGCACGGACAGGGGGCGAGATCGAGCTGGAGAAGTTTGCCAGTTCGGTCGGTTGATCGATCAATCGGACCGAAGGTCGATGATGGGTGCGAAGCTTCGAACGGGCATCGAGCGAATGCTTGCCGAGTCGTGCAATACATGTTCCAACAGATTCCGAGAGCTTCCCGCGTCGATGAGACTCTTCGATTCAAAGAAAGATATGTGACAGCGAGTGATTGCACTCGAGTGATCGGTCAATGTTGACGACGAGAGTGAACGATGTGGAGTTGGCGGGGGAGATCGCCACCGGTCGACAGTGGTGTTCGAGGTGCGGCGATATTGGTCGAGTGACATTTGCATCGATTCGAGACCTGGGCAAGGGTGAGCGACTCCTCGATGGTGTTGACGAGGAAGTCGCATTGTGATCGCAGAGTATGGTCCTACAAGTCACAGAGCGGTTCGGTGCGAAGCTCGGATGCCAGCGAGTCGGCCAACGCGCGATCTGAACTAGAGTGATGAGCAGCAAAGACGATCACGAGGTGAGCGAATGAAGTGAGACCGTGGTACTATCCGAATGAAGAGCTCACCCACACTCATCGGTCGAGTAGCAAGTCGGCGATCGGGGTGATCGAGGCGATGCGGTGACTGAGCACGTGTCTGACCGAGTACGCTCGAGTGATGCATCGACGTAAGGTAGGACACTGCTGAAAGGGTCCACGCCCTCTCGGATCGATCTGGTCATCGTATCGTGTTGAAGATGGCAGTGTTGGACTTCATGTTGACCGTGCTGTGCGACGTAGCGCGGGGCCCACCTCAGTCGGCTTGAGGTGACACGTTGCGCCGAAGTTGAGAGAGATCGAGTTGCATCTTGCGGATTGACTGGCGCATGTGACGTCGAGTTGTGGCGTGGTGCGATCAGTGCCGAGTCCGAGTCGAGTCAAGTGGTGCGAGTGAGTGGGGAGAGGGAAAGGAGCGTCGGCGCGCGCGACTCTGAAGTCGAGCCGTTGGCTGACCGAACTCGGCTGAACTCGGCTGAACTCATGCAGACTCTGCGACGGGAAAGCTTAATTAGGCGCGCTCGGCCGAGAGATCCGACGGTCTCCGATTTGCTCGAGTCCAGTCGACCTGTTGCACTTCAAGACTCGAAGATCGAACAGGGATCCGAGGGAACTTCAGAGCTAGAGAGAGCGAGTACCTCCGAACTCGGTGCGAGCGCCCGGGCGAGTCGGCCGGCGTCCGCGGCAAAAAGGTCGACTCGCCCAGGTCACTGAGCACACTCGTACCCTCATCAATCTTTTACTCAAAGGCTATTCCCAAAATATGTACGAGGTGCGTCGGAATGTTTGAGGGCAAACACATCTGATCCGGGAGCAGATCGTTGGTCCGATTACTCGGAGTCGAGATGAGTCATCGATGGGAGATGAGAACCGCGGGCGTGTCCTGGAAGCGCATCTCACTGGCACTCTCTCGCAGACCGCAATGCTGTGAAATGCATGAAGAGATGAGTTGAGCTCTCAAGGGGTATCTGGTGGTGTGGATACAGTTTGAGAGCTGGCTTTCTCCAAAAGATCGTCGGTGAGAACTCGCTGCGGTCGGCACTTCGTTTGCGGACAAGTTCGGTCACTTTCGACGATGATCGCAATGCTCTGTTAGGTCGATCTGACGACTTTTTCTCGGTACAGAACCATTCGTTTGAAATAATAAAGGGATATGGTCATGGCGCGGAGAAGATCGTCCAGTTAGCACTGTCGGCAAAAAGGCTCGATGGTCGCCGAGCCGAGAGACAAGTAAGGAGTAATCGACTCATTCTCGCAGCCCCATCCGGCAGATAGAGGTTTCTCATTCTCAGAACACTCAAAAATTCGAATATAGTTGCCCATACGCGTGCAGTGCTAGATTGCGGTCCTGTTGAGGCAGTATTTTCATCGGGACCGGTCTTCGAGATCACAAAGCCAAGTGATCCGCAGCACACATGATCTAGGTCGATGTGGCCCTTTCCTACAGGTCATTGCTGCAATCCATATACCTCGCATCGAAGCATGTTGCAAGCTACATGAATACTTTTGAGAGATCTATCACATGGTGGTCACTGTGTTGGAGTCACTTTCGAGTGCTGATTTGGAGTTGAAAAGTCGCGCAAGGAGGTCGGCTCTCGATCGCGCAAACTCGGCCCCTTTAGTTTTCGCGGGTCGATCGGATAGTGATCTTCGACACTCGAAGGAGGACTTTCTCAATGAATTTTTTCAATCTTGACGGAAGAATCCATGGGGTGCTTTGCGGTGTCAAAGCATACTTTCAGTCATGATCGTCGGTGAGGGATGCGGGTCACGGAAGTTCGACTTTGCGTGAAAGTCGAGGAAGCCCCTCCCTGTTGAATCACGACCTACCTCTGCAAGCAGCTGTTCTTCACACTTGATTACTTGCTAAAGCCGGAAAGAGGCTATAGTAAAAGGCTAGGGATGCGAGTGCAAGGTTGACGCTATGGTATAGCAAAGCGGTCGATCAAAGATGAAATGTAAAGATAAGGGGAAACGATGGAACCGAGACCGAAGACGAGGGAGACGAGATACGAGAGAGCGACCGGAACGGCCGAGAGACGAGAGACGAGAAAGGAGCCCAAACCGAGAAACGAGACCGAGTATGAGAACGAAACGCTGAGACCGGAGACTGGAGACGAGAGACGAGACTTGAATCACGCAGAAAGTGAGAACCAGCTAAGATGCTGTATAGGATCCTAGAAGTGGTCTGCCTAAGAACAAGAAGCAAACTCTCCTCAAACGTTCCGATCATTCAGGCCGCTGCGCTCCTTTCATTCCCCTTCACTCCTTCATCCGCGCATCCGGCCCGGTCTTCCACTCAAATCCTGCCACATGATTTGTTGCTGACGGTCAATCCTTGAGTCATCGAAGTGCTGAGTTTACTCGGGACCGCTTTATCGCTGAGAAATCTGCCGAAACCGGTGTTTGATCCTGCCCGAACCGGTGTTGACCTTGACAATTTGAAACGACTCCGGAACTCGGTCCCGCCACAACCGAAATGACTCCTGAACCGGGCCGGCTACATCCGCTGCTTCTGACGGGATCCCGAGTACCACAACGCCCACTCTAAACGGACCGCGGCATGTCACTGCAGCTTGGTCGG